TCACTGTTTATAGTTGTTTTAGGTATAATATCAGGAAAATGTCAACGGGGCTCCAACCAGAGAAATCTGTTCTGTAGTTTTGGGTTCTGCGTGGAATAAATAACATGTTTCCTGTTTTACATTCGCCTTGTTTCTTCCTACCGAATAAGACACAAACTATCTTAGAAAAGGATGAGTCAGAAAATGTACGTCCTGCAGAAGCGGCAAAGAAGGACCGAAGATTGCTGCTACATATAGCTTACTGACAATGTTGAGCTAACATGTAATTGTACTCATTTAAGTCAATACAATAAAGTGATGATAAATTTGAAAATGTAAAGTTAACCTTTTCGAACTGTACAGGTCCATACTGGCTGAAGATCTTTTTTTGATGTGAGTTTAAGGTGGACGTTTCCATCTGGATTTTCAGTGTAAACTTCAAAGAAATTTGGCTTTCCACTTGGATATCTGAGCTTTAAATCCTGTTAAAGAAAGAAAGAGCAACGGGAAAGAGAGAGGTATGGTATGGATATTTGTAAGTTACTATTTCTGTCTTTACTACTCCACAGTGATATTTCAAAAGCTGCAGCTTCAGCAGGTTCTCAAAGCTTTCCACCTTCTCTCGTCCACAAATGGACTGCTGGTCTGCACCGGCCTATGGTTCATGCATCTGATCCAGTTCCAGCATCATCCTGTATCCATGTTTTCTCTCATCATTCATGTTTTTTCTTTTCCTGGTTCAAAGTCACTCAAATGTTAAAGTCCTGGTAAGTCAGCATGTAGCTGGTGGTGTATCAAAGCCTTTTGTATCTTCTGTCATGTTTCTGCTCCTGCTAACAAGAGTTTCACTCTCTGAGCTTCATCAGACTTCAATCTCTTCTGTCTGCTCTCCATTCACCATCCAGGACTCCAGCCTCTGATGTAGGCTCAGTCTCTATTGTGCTTGCTTTTTCCTCTCCCTACTCTTCCCAACCTTCTTTTTGCTACGATCACTTAGTATATCCTATTTATTATAATATATTACACTCATTTTCTGTGCTTTGGTCATGCTTGAGCTAACAATAGTGTTTTCATTCTATAGAGTCAAACTTCCCTGCCACAGTAAGATTGCTCTTACTGTTTTGGGGGGTCCTGTCCTAAATCCTAACACTGCTGGGATTCCAATCTGCAATCAAGGTTCTTCAGCGTTAAATCACCAAATAGATTAGTTCATTTTTCATTCTCAGTAAATCATGTTCACTTCTTCCAGATCAGCTCTTCTTATTGAATATTTACTGAATCCTTTCTTTGCTCAGTAAAATGCATGAAGGCTGCCGACGACAGCTGGACTATTTATTCTCAGCCTATTATGCAAATATGTATTTGGAAAGAAATTAAAGCATTTCAAACCATACTTCAGGACAGATTTCTGCACCATCCACATCTGCTGTTAGTGTGAAACGATCAAGAATTTTCAAGGACTTCTCTGGATCTGGCTTCAGGATAGCTTTGTATCCATGGGGCACTCCCCTCTGCTTTATTACCTGTAACACATTAGTCAGTTTTATATATTAATTTATTCATTCTTCTGAATTCTGCCTATCATACTGTGAAACATGTAATAACCTGCTGTAGCCCAGGATCACGTGGGATCAGATAAACATGCAGTGTGAGGAAAGCTGTGTTGGTTTGATAGATCAACACGTTGCAGCCGATTTTCACAGGAACGCCGAGTTTCATCAGGACCGCTCTCGGAGAGAAAATCGGTTCAGTTAACTTGACATGTGTTGGTGTGACCTCAGACACTTTTTCCACAACATCTCC